GGGCCCGGTGCGAGGTAAGGAGCGGGGGTGGGGTGTTCCCCTTCGGTCCGTTCGCCACAGGGCCCGGTGCGACCGCACCAGTTGCACCCCCCTAAGGACGGCCCTGAGCAATCTAGTATCTAGGCTATTTTATTCATATGCCAGCCAATCAGGTATCCAGTATTCAGACAGACCATGGAATAAAATTAAATATATAATAACAATAACAACAATAATAATAATAATATTAAATATGTTCATGGTAATATATATACTGTAGTTTGTATTTTCAGTTATACTGTTTAATTATTGCTGTATTGCTTTTTAACATTATTATATTACATTATATTATATTATATTATTATTTAATTTATAATTAATATTTTTTATTCAATTCATTCACTGATTCATTGTACCTGTCAGTCAAGATATGATTTTCTGTGAAATTGATTTTTTTTTTGCATGCTCTAATTGCACTAATATTTTACACATTATTACCAAAGCATATGAAATTCTCCTCCTCTCCCATGCTCCTTCTTTTTCCTCCCCTTTTAAGCCTGTCTTCGTGTCATATTAAAGGGATGGAAATGAACTTGAGAGTTTGCTAATTGCGATTGTCAATCCCATCTAGGCAGAGCTGAAAGACATGGGCTCCCAAACACTTCATCAGTCTTCATTAATATTGAAGGGCGCTTTGAAAACGTCTCCCCAATCACAGCTGATCTAACGCAGCACGTGTGAAGCTCTTGGCCCTGACAAAAACTACAGACATTACCATTACTTCATTAGTGTACTTTATTATGCAATTTTAGGAATTTAAAAAACACTATTGGAACTGACTTTTACTCCGTTACGTTTCTAATGGAAAAATGACACTTTTTCCTATATAAAATTTAATTTAGACCTTCAATGTACAATCAGTATTTACATTACTCCTTGTCCATTTTACTGAGCTAACCAACCAATAAAATTCGCTCCTAATTTTGACTTTACTTTTACTAAAATAGGAAATCCATTTCGTCATAAATTATAAGCCATGGTTGTGTAAAGACGTTTCATCAATCACACCACAGTCTTTTATTTAAAGCAATATATAACCACTGCTGAAGAAGGACAAACGTCAATGATGAGCCTATAAACAACAATAATCATCTACTTTCTTATGAGGCTCTATTACTATGTAGGCAGTAGACTGTAGTTTACTAGGTTATTGAAAAAAGCCACCAATGAATCATCTATTACCAAACAACTTATTTATTTTCAAATACTTTGTATTCTCTTGAAGTTTATGGAAATAAATTGTAGCTCATCTTCATAAGAATGAGTTGCATATTCTCAGGGTTAAATAGAGAACCGAGTATTCACAACCCACACAACAATGTCTGCTTAGACAGTATTTGCCAGGAAAGTCATCTTAAATGTTTTCTATTCTAACGTAAGTTTTATTTGAATCAATATTTAGAGTCAGCAAGCAAATAAGTTTATAGGAAGTGGAGGTGAATGTTTCTGAGAGAAGCAACCTTTGGCCCATCCGAGCTCACAGATGCCCCGGGCTGTGAAAAACAATGGAGAACACGGAGTTTCTTTCCCTCTGCGATTGTTTTATTTAGAATTTACTTATATAAGATTTAAAACAATCGCAAATTACCCAGAATTGTATGGTATTTTACGGTAATTCTGCATTGATAATAATAAGAAATGTTTCTTGATCAGCAAATCAGCGTATATTAGAATGATTTCAGAAGGATCATGTGACACTGAAGACTGGAGTAATGGCTGCTGAAAATTCAGTTTTGCCATTGCAGGAATTAATTATATTAGCTAAGTATATGTATGTATTTGAAAGAACTACTCATCTGTTAAGAATGACATGGCCTTGCGAGCAACGTAGCAACGACATCCTGCTAGCAACGTTTTTATATGCTCCTACTCTAAATCTGCAAAATGTCACTAACAGTTGAAGGCCGGTTACCCTTTAGCAAAGTCTTCAGTTCAGTTCAGGATCCGAAAGCTATTCTAGGAGCATCGTTGTTTTTGGGAAGCCACTTGTACTGACTAGAACTGACAACATGAGAAAAGGGGAAAAATGCATAGAATGAAAAAAGAGACACTCGATGAGAAAAAGAGACATGAAATTAAAAAGAAGAACGGTTCTGGTCAGGGCTCCATAGCAACACCGTATCTAGTAATATTTCCAATAAGACCTCGCACTCTAAGCACTCTTCAGTATCTAATCTTCAGCCTAATGACATGCTGCCTTGTGGAAATATTTATGCTTTCCTCTTGGAAATGATAACCGGTTATTAACTCTATATCGGCTCATTAAATCCTGAACTAAGCATTTAATACATTATATGCGATGGAGGGCCGAAAGACGGCCTAATTAAAGATGGTGGATCATTGCAAGAGGGTGTCAGTAGCTGGATTTCCATCCAAATGTTTTAAATATATTTGGAAAAATAAGAACCTCTTTTGTATAGTCTATTCAACTCTATTTGAGTCTTATAAGCAATAATTCACCTCAAAATTATAATTTAGACAATATTTACTACTCACCCTCATATCATGCTGCTTTTTTTTCAATCTAAATATAAAGTCCATTGTGACCACATTTCGTAAACTGCAAAGCTGACAAAAAATTTATTTGTGAAGGCATTTAAGCCTGAATCAATGAATCAGTGAAAGTTTGGAAAAGCCAATCAGTCCAATTAGTTTTTGTGGACCATATACACCAATTTGGTAAAAAGATTTGACACAAATGAGCAATTCACTCATGAATGGCTATTTGAGTGAATGAGAATAATTCATAATGTATTAATACCTTTATTTTATTTTTTTTATTTTTTTTGTGAGTAAAAAAAGTTATTAAAAAGATTGTTCAGCTCATTCTTTTGAATCTCATCTTGTTTACTGAATTAATGAGCTTTACTGATTAATGAGTGAATTGCTCTTTTGAGTAATTTTTTTTTAATCGGTTGATCCAGTTCACGAAACGAATATGAATTCTTTGCACACTGAAGTAGTGATGTGAACCGGGTTACCCGATTCATTGAAAAGTTTTGACTCAAAAGAAAGATTCACTTATTATACAGACAATTTTACTTCAAATCATTTGGACTGGTTTTATGAACTGAATCAACCAAAAAGATTAATTTAAAAACAACTATACGTTCATGAATCTGACATCAATACTTTAGTGAAATTGGTTTGAACCAGATCTTGAGTTCAACTCAATAGGTAAACTTTTCCTTTAATAACCGAACAATATCTTATGCCTCAAATTCAATAAATATAAGTAGTTCAATTAGCATAACTTGAACATATTCATTTATTTTTATTCTAACCTGCCAAAACCAACCTATTTTAAGCTACACATCTCAGCTACAACACACCTAATGAGGGTCTCCTTCATTTCCATTAGATACAATTAAATAAATTGAAATGTACCCCCTCATTTACACCCCTACTCTTTACGAGAAGTGCCATGGGATTTTTAATGACCACAGAGAGTCAGGACCTCGGTTTAATGTCTCATCCGAAAGACAGTGCTTTTTAACAGTATAGTGTCCCCATCACTATACTGGGGCGTTAGGACCCACACATACCACAGGTTGAGCACCCCCTACTGGCCTCACTAACACTTCTTCCAACAGCAACCTAGTTTTCCCAGGAGGTCTCCCATCTAGGTACTGTACAGGCTCAACCCTGCTTAGCTTCAGTGGGCAACCAGTATTGGGCTGCAGGGTGATATGGCTGTGGCGGAAGTACAGGAACGTTCACTAGTCATGTCTCAACACACAATATTTATTACTATGTTGTTCCTGAAGAAAAGATCCCTGACCTTTCTCCGACTACCCATTATTCTCATCATGGCACGAGCCGAAATGTGGGAGATGGGGCTATTGTGACAGGGGGAGGTCGGCAGTGAGGTCTATCGTTTGTTTTCATCACTAGTGGCGTTTCAGTCACAAACAAACCCCTTTCTAATCTTTTAAGTGAACAAATTATTCTCATTCCATGCACTTACAACTCACAGAGATCTCTCTCGTCTGATTTACAGGATTGCTTTGGTTGCTTTTATCTGACTTCAAATACTGACTACAGCATGGCGTACACAAATAGCATAGAAGTGCAGACTGTGGACCTACTGAACTTAAGTGTTTTGAATAAGAAAGGACAGAGGTGTACTAGTATATCACACAACACTAGCATACTACTTTTACCATTTCTGCCATATGATTTTCTGAATTCAGCCTAAAGGCCTCAATATACTTCAAGCAAAATGTAAAAAAAACAAACTGGTCTGGCATCATTTAGAGCAAAATCAGGCCAAAATAAAGTGACTGGGTTGTTTCAGGAGTTCGAAACAGCTTGCCAAAAATTAACACGGAGACGCTGCTTGTTTTAAACCAATCTATTGTATAAAGTGCTGCATACATAAACGTTTTGACCAGAGTGCCAAATAGCAAAACTTGTGCAAAGGTGCAGTCACATTTACTGTTGCTCTGTGACATTTTGCAGTTGAATTCCATTCATTTCAATAGGAATCCGTGTGATTGGGAATTTTGTGCCACTTTTTGTGATCTTAAGTGGACCACTTTGTGATCTTAAAAGGACCACTTTTTGTGATCTTAAGTGAAGAATGAAAATAACTTTGCTGCAAGTATATCAAGGCTTTTAGCAGAGTAAATGAGACATCTTGTTTGGAAAAGGAACTAAACGAACTGGGACAGGTCATTTGCGAAGGAAATGAATAAACAATCTCATTTGTGAACAAGGATCTACTGGTTGACAGTAAGGGAATAAAAACTAGCAGGTTTAATTTACGACGCACACCTAAGTTCGTTTTACACCATTTCAAACTGACTCAGGCAAATAACTTATGGTAACTAATATACTAGGTGTAATTGTTACCTTGAAACTTTGACTCTGATATGATACAGAACAACAACAACAAAAACTATGGAAAACAAACAATAAACTAAATCCAAGACCTGTAATAACTCGCACAGACTACTTACCCTAAGAAAGGACAGGTCACGACTGCGATCGATGCTGGTGATCTCCAGGTTACCCATCACCACCTCGCAGTTCTCATAGTATTTACGAAGGGTTCGATACTGCTGGTCCAGGTCTGACAGAGTACTCAGTTTATTCTCTGTGCCAGGGCATACTGCAGAAAGAAAAAAAAGAGAGAAATTACATTCTGATGGTGCAAACAACAGATGCAGGAACTGCTTGGCGCTTCAGTCCATCCAGCAATGCAATTCAATCAGGCCTGAAGTCCCAGAAGCCTCTAAGACAGACAAGGAGCCTCCAGCCCCAGACGGACAACTTGACAAGTAATTAAACAGAGCCATTTCTGCTCATCAAACACCTTGCACCAATCAAAGACATTTGCCATCTGTTGCATCAGCTGGCATTGCCTTTGAGCCAATACTGTAACCCTCCCTCTCACGCCTCACTGAACCACTGTCACAACATCCACGAGCACATCCATGCCTATCCCATGCCACCCGCTCTGTGGCCGCCAGAAAGACAGACCGAGAGCGAAAGGAGAGTCAGCATATGCATTATAACACCATATGATGAGACTAACTGACAATGCAGCTATGCATCTTTCTATTATACTTGATACACATCTACAGCTGTTTGAATAATGTATGTTATGCTAGTTTCTTATCATGCAGCAACAGAGACCTTATTCATCATGTGCTCATTAACACACTCTCACAGGATGAGGGGGAGCCCTGCTTTATGTAGAATAAATCTACTTTTTTCTAGGCCACATCTGCAAGCTTTCATTTTAAAGGAATAATTGACCCACAAATCAAAGTTTTTTCATCACCCTATATGACTTTCTTCATTATGTGTCACATTTTGAAAAGTGTCCTGTTTGCTGTTAACCATCAGTCATTGAGTTAAACTTCAGATCAGTTTGATTCATGATTAATTTGAGACTTGAGTTTGATCTAGTTTGAAAAGATTTGCCTCAAAAGAATGATTCGTTCACAACATTTTAATTTCTCTCATGAAAATACTGGGAAGAGTTTCACTAGAGGTCTTGAATTAATTATACTGTGTAATTACAGTAGTTCTAAAATACAGTGCACAATTCATATAGACTAACTTTATGATGTTTTTAAAGTTATTTTGCATTGAAAGTGGTCAAAATTACTATTTATTCTTTAAAACATTTTAAGGATAAAAAATATATATACTTAATGCATTTTATTAAAGTAAATATGATAAATTCAGATTTTATGTTGCTTTGTATAAAGACTTTAAAGCTCTAAAGTTTTCATTAGTAATGAAGACGAGCACATAACCGTTCAGTCTACCTCAGATTATCGGTAGAAAAACACAGAATTGTTCCCTACCTAAAAATACAGATTTTGAGAAAAAAATAAGATGAAGAGAATCTGAAATAAGTTGAGGTCAGGTGTTAGATTTAGGTGTTTTCAATAATCCTTAACCTGCATTAGAGCGAAGGAAGTATTATAAAAGAAGCTTAGTGGTAATAAACATTTATTGCACCCTCGGGGGCTCCGTTGTGAGATTACAGGTGAATTGTGGGATATAATTTTGTTAGGGAGGTTTCATTCTATACCATATCTGACAGCTAACCCACTTTAAAAAAGGCCACCAACATCAAAATCAAAAGGGAGGCAAAATATACTGTACTCAAATCACAGATTGAGCCACAAACCTGCCTAGAGTGCACCAAACAATGGAAGTAAAATGTCAGAATTTTTATTTCTGATAATTTTTTATCTTTAACTACCTGATATTTAGGAGAGGAGTTGTGTGTTTCTGCTATGCTCTTTATACACACTCATTTTATGTAAATAAACCACAGGTAAACATTATGTGACATTATGGGCATACTTGACAATTATTGATTGCACACATACTTTGCCATGGGCCACAGTACAATGTTAAAATGAAGCATGTCTGCCTACAAACCTCATTTGTCTTTTTCAATAAAGAAGAAGATAGTCGTGCTGGAGATGCTGCCCCTCAGCAAACCTCCTCTCTGGCACACACAATGCAGACATCTTTATTTCCAGTTTATGCCTCTGACTGCAGCTTGATTGAACTGTGTCTTGTATTTTGTTTTGTTTTTTTGGATCATCAATGATGGATTGAGGCATGAATCTTAATTCTGAATTTTATATTATAATCAATGAATGTGAAGATTATCACTATGTTTTAAAACTTAGTGAGCTCTCTAAAAACCCTACATTTAAGGAAGCACTGAAAAATAACATAAGTGATCCATTTCCAATTATTTTGAGTCTGCCATTAGTTAAGCTACTAATAAAATTGTCCAATAAGCATAAAAATACATAACACACAAAAATAATTTATTTGTTTGTTTGTTTGTTTAGGTATTGAGTGAATTGTAAGTATATTTACAACATCTCACTCTCTTCACTCGTCCACAAGGCTTTGTGTCCATGATGCCTTAAAATGTAGCCTATGTAGGCAGCTCACTAGGTTTTGGAACAGAGCATTTGGTAATGAATAAATGTGTGTGTTCATATGAGCATATAATGTTTTCTATCACTTTTTGAGTATGTGGGAAAGGTATTATTCACTTTTATATTTTTAAGGTGGCATTATTTCTATCACAAAAAACAAGCTTGAAAAAGTGGAACTCCACAGTAAGAGAATAGAACATGAACAGCTAGCTCTTAAGCACAAAGCCTTGAATATTTTTCATTTTTCATGTATTTTCACAGACATATGGTGTTTGCAGAATAGATTTAAAGACCTCTGCAGCATCCCACCCCCCCAAAATCAATTCTTGTTTGAAATAAATTGTTTTAACAGACACGGTTGATGTTGCTTTGCAGCTTCTGTAGTCTTATAAACAAACAAGCAAACAAACAAAAATTGAGATTGAAAATGGGTAGCTTTGAAACATTTTTATTTAGTTCTTTATGAATTATTTTTCTTACTACAGCATGCTGAAGCATACCTGATGCAATCCCACCACATATCTAATGCATTTCATCAAAGAAATAAAATGCTCTCTTTCCTTACTCAGTCACAGATACACAAACAAAACTGTTTATCATCCCCCATAGTTCTAACTCCTGCCGGCCTTGCATTTGTCAGGGAGGCGTGTGTATATTCAACATGACCGGAATACATAAAGCACTTCCTTATCACTGTGAAAGATGCCTTTAGAGCTGCGTCTGAAAGGTGCAGCCAATGGGAATTTAAACAGGAGAGTAAGTGCATGTTTACTTAAGACACATGATGGGAAATCTAAAAAAATAATTAAAAACAAAAATTCCGTCATTATTTACTCACAGAAAAACATCTCAAATGTGTGAGACTTAACCCCGATTAAACCTTTTAAAAACTGTTTTTGATATCTAGTTTGACAAGGGACCAAATCATTTGCCAGCACACAAGCAAAATAGCATTTTTATATCATTTGAATTTCATATCACGCCCAATAATAAACAACTTGCCATAAACACGACCTCCATTCTCATCAATTCCGACTTCACTCTTGTATATTTATAAATATTCTCATTGGAATTAAACACTCCTCTATTAGTCAATGCATTTCATAAGTATTGCGCAAAATGACTTCATCAATGAAGAACGGGGGTTTATTGAACACCGATATAAGCGAGAAAAGAAGTCGGAGTCTCTGAGGCTTATTGGACCCACAGAAATAGCAGAAAAGGTCATGCCAATAGCCGACAACTCATTGAGCTAAATAAAGTTGCAAATGTCACTTCCTGAGGTAAACATGGTCAATGCATCGGCTCAGAGGACGTGAGCTGATTGGAAGATCAGAGAAGCCGATCACTGGACGGGAATGGTGATGATGTGATCCACTGCAGTCAGGTTTGCTCGCCTGTTAAGAGGGCATCTGGTGAAGGACTAAATGGTAATAATGACAGTCATGATTGCATCTCTGCGTGACAGGGCTACGGTCCGGTAACCGTGTCCTCTACCGTCCCAGTCACTAGTCTACGGGTCTGCCTTCTCCATATGGAACCGGCTGATTTTAGTATCATAAACACTTTAGCAGGCTGACTCGGCCGACTGAGCACTGGAGCTTTGAACTCGCCTGTGAGGTCAGGACACAGTGACATTAACAATTGTCCGAAGGCTTGTGCACCTATAAATAATAGGTTTATTGCTCTCTGAAGCACCCAGAGAGACCATTTATCAAGTAAATGTCTCATGAAATGATCATGAAAATAGTATCGGATTCACCAGAGGGCTCAGATTAAACTTGAGTTAAACGTTTTAAACTGGTTTTGACTGGATGCCGTTTAGCTGTCAGTCCAATTTTTGTTTTAATAGCATATTATGGCAGTTCACCCAAAAATGTTCACTCGGAATAATTCACTCAAAAATTATCATTCTGGCATTGTTTACTCACTCTCATATTGTTCCCATAGGATTATATTTCTGCCAAGAAAACAAATTTTTTATTTTTTTTACTTTTTTATTTATTTAAAGGGGTCATATGATGCTGCTAAAAAGAACATTATTTTGTGTATTTGGTGTAATGAAATGTGTTTATGCGGTTTAAGGTTAAAAAGAGAAAGGAAAAATTGAAATGGCATCATATGACCCCTTTAAGAACACCTCGGCTGCTCTTCTTGTGCATATAATACAAATAAAAAGGACAAAAACATCATTAAAAAAACAGAGAAAATAAAATAAACTATATTATTTCAAAGCCTTCAGATACACATTAAAATGTATTAATTTATAGCTGTGGAAAGGCAAAAAAGACAGGTTGTATGTAACACAAGGGTGAGTAAACAAACAAAATATATATATATATATATATACAGTGGGTACGGAAAGTATTCTATATATATATTTAATTTTGATGCATTATCCCTTTAAAAAAGTGTTTGTTTCTGTTACTGAAAGGGATGTGGGCATATTTTGAGAGGGATGTTTCATTCTGCAGCATGTAGTCTGTCCCCAGACCATTTGTTCCTGACCACTGGCCTCCGGTGTGTCCTGGAAAAGGACAGCACAGTCTGAAAGCAAACAGGCTCCTTTATCTCTCTTGTTTTCTCTTTTCTATGTCTCAAAATGTGAAGACAAAGTACTGAAGTTCACAGTGTTCTCATTCGAATGAGCTGTGCTGACCGCAGTCAATGCCTTATTACCCATAATCCCAAACGCTGTCTCACTGACACCAGGCAGAGAAAAAGACATACCTCTGGGAAAGAAGAATGTATCAGGATGGAAATTTCCAGCCTAAAAGTCCTCAACTTATTCTGACAGGAATTTGAAGGGAATACGCTTCGGTTTATCGCATTTGCAATGAAAGTGAAACAATTTCAACTGAATTGTTTTGTTTTTA